CCCCCGTCCTCCCGCCTCGTCGCCGCCGCGGAAATTTGGGGGCAGCGCTCGGGACGCGGCGGCGGCTCCGCTGCCCGGCGCTGCGGCGGCGGCCGGGGCGACTTCCCCACTTGCCGCGCATCTCCCCCCGCCTCCTCCTTCCTCCCCGTGTTTTCGTAACCCGGATTAATGCCCCTCCGCTCCCCCCTCCCCTACAAATACGACGACACCCTTCGTGATATTTTTTCCCCCTCTTTCTTTCTCGGCTTGTTTCCTTCCCGTGTTAGCAGATTAACTTCTTCGTTTACGCGCTTTCTCCCCGTCCGCTTAAGCGCCTGATTTCCCGTGTCACGATAGCGGAGCCGCCTCCAGCAGAGCCCTGGGTGGCGGCTGTGGTGCCGCACGCTCCGCGTTCATCATCTCCGTCCCTTTGGGCTTTAGCCGAAGGACCGAAGTGCCGTTAATCGCGCGTTGCACCAGGCTGCTTGTTTTTCCGTGCGTTTCCCCCGCCTCCTCCCAGCGTTAAAACGCGACTTTCCTCCGCGGACTAGAGGGGGGAACGCAAGCCGAGGCCGTTCGCATCGTGCCAGTTATTTGTAGGTGTTTTCTTTTCCTCCCACACACCCCAAAACCGGGTAAATACCCTCCCCGCGCGCAGCGCAGCCTGACGCTGTGGCCATTCACCTCCTCCTCTCCGCCTACCGAAACCCTCCGTCCCTGTCACCCGGCTCGCCGTTTGTCATTGGCTTAGCTATTTTTTGGTGCCTGTTTCCATGTCATTGCTCGCTGGACCGGCAGCTCCCGCCGCTCGCAAGCGCCGCCGTTGCCGAGGGCTCCCGCGGCGCATCCTGCGCGCCCGCGCAAACGCCGCGCAACGCCGCACAACGCATCTTTTTGTGCCGCGGCCGGCGCGGGGGGGCGCGGGGGAGGGCAGCCAAGGGGCTGCCAGGCCAGCGCGCTCCTTCCCACGCGCGATTCCGAGCGCTACTTTTTATTCCCCTTCCTACTTCCCTATTCACTTTCGGCCGCCGAAAGCTGTTTTTATTATTATTATTCCCCCCCTTTCTTTCTTTTTTTTTCCCTTTTTTATTTTCCCGAGGCAGGCGGGCGCGCGGGCCGTTCAGCCCCGCGGCCGCTCGCGGACCCCCCCGGAGCCGCCGGGCGCGCAGGGGGATGCGCAAGGCAGGCGGTACCGGGGCCCGCCCGCGCAGCGCAGCGGAGCGAACCGGGCCGGGCCGCCCTCATTGGCCGCGGGTCCCCGCGGCTGGACCGGGGCACGGCCCCCCCCCCCCCCGCACATCCCCGCGCGTAACGAGTTAAGCGGGGCGCGTAGGAGGGCGCAGCGCCGAGTTGGGGGGCACAAAAGATTTCTGTGTGCGCGGCCGGGAGCTCGGCGCCTTAAAGCGAAATGCAGAAACTTCGCGCGGTGGCCGGCTTGCGGTTCAAGGTATTTTCTGGGCAGTGCAGGAGCACAATATTGCAAGATTTTTTTTTTTTTTTCCCCTCCGTCTTGAATCCTTAGGATTTCCTTGGGTTGTTTTGGTCTAATACACAAATTATGCTCCTTTTCAGTCCCTTTTCCCTGGGAATAGCTGCTTCGCGTGTCTCTGCAGTTTGTTACCTTTACGTCCTCGCAGCTAGAAAATGCAGTTTAATCTCTGAAACTGCGATACCAGTGAGATCCAATTGAATTCTAGCACATATTCCTTTAGATTTGCATCATTATTCCCAGGCTGTTTCAGGGAACATTTTTAACGGTTAGTGTGGGAATGTGTACAAAGCTCTTTCGTTGTAGCTGTGTACACTCTGGAATATCGGTATTGGGAAAGGTTTACACTATTCAGCAGTGGAAGTAAACTTACAAACACTGACTTTCACTTTCAAGGAAATAACTGTCCTGACTCATAGCTRATTTAGAGATTTTTTTATAATTCAGCACTGTTACAGGTGCGTATGCTCTCTCCCTCACACCATTTGACAGTCGTGTTCGATAGCGTGCATTTTATGCCTGTTTTTCAGTTTAATTAAAATCTGTGCTTAGTACATATTTGACTATATCAAACCACCATTCTTTTTAGCTTTTTTATTTCTCAGCTGCACCATTCCCATATTTTACAATTACATAAAGGTGGGTGTGGCTAAAATGAAAGCAGTAAGCAGCCTCATATCAATATAGGGTGTACGCTGAGTAGTTTTTGCTCCCTTATTTTTGATATACCCCACGTTTTGAGGTATTTGAGGAAAATTCATGCGGCTTAAATAGACCTTTGTAGAACTGCTTGCATTTTTCACTTTAGTTAAAATGTCAAACATTAACTGGGGTTACTTGGCCCTGGAAAAGTTGAATTCAGAGGAAATATCAAATGAACTTAAAGATCTAAACGTATATATTTACATTATATCGACAAATGAAAGTTAATGTTATATGACTAGTAGGATAGTGCTTAGGTATACCGTGTAATATAGAAAATATTATTTTTAAATATTTTTTCTTTATTTTTTTCTTTTTACTCCTGTCTTCTCAGAAAAACATTAGAATAAACTTATTGTCTTTTTTTCCTTCTTTATTTTTTTAWTTTTTTTTAAATAACTGAAAGCTTCCAACGGACATCTTTCTTTTTRCAAATATCAACCTAGTGAAGCTCAGAGTGACTTTGAAATTTTACATTTTTCAGGAATAACAGTAATTTGAAAGAGCAGGCATGTGTCTATGACTTGTGCATGAATTATGGTAGTAATATATAGGAATCATATTGTAGTAGTGATTTTAAAAATAGACTTTATAGACGATAAAGAGCCATTACAGGGTTTTTTGCTTAGGTAGTGTAACTACTTAGCTAGTGGTGAATATACTATTCCACCCCACAGGTAGGTTCATAGAAGAAGTTGTGCTCTGAAATTATAACCTTTATTTGCCTAAATATCCTCACACCAGTAAGACAAATTTGTAGTTAAGCACAAGTGGAACTGCGAGCCCGCTATCTGTGTGTGTACACCCCGCCTGTGAGCACCATAGGGAACGGGC